TCATCTTCAAAATCTCGGAGGGTTTACGGCCGGCCTCACCCCCACAACAGTCGTTCCTCGTCGTCACACTCCCCTACACCACCCTCCTTCCCCCTCTCCTCCTCACTTTCTTCCTCCGTCCCCTCACCTTGGGCCATATAAATTACCTCCCCGCCGGCCCGACCGCCATCCTCTTCGCCCTCCTCGCAAACTACTACGCCGCAATTCCCTATACATACCGCTACAAGATTTCGCCCTGGGCAGCAGCAGCACCCTCGGCGCAATCCCCACCATCATCCTCACACCCGCAATCTCACACACGTGCCGCCTCGCGCCTCTGGCAACACAGCCTCACACTAACCTCAAAGTCCCTCTCCTACCTGCCCCCGCTCCAACTCGCATTCTCGCAATTCCCAGGCTCGCTGCTCGCGGCGGCCATCGGCTGGGCCGTCGGCACAGCCTATCGGCGCGACTTGCTGCCTGGCGCCGCGCGCTGGCGCGTGCCCGCATGGGTGGTGGGCGAGGAGGAGAAGAAGAAGGAGTTTGAGGGGTTAAGGGCGCGGTTAGATGCAGAGCGGGAAAGGGAGGGAAGTGGCGGGGCGGCGGCGGGGCTGGCGACGGGGATTTTGGCCGGGGAGACGGGCGGGGCGACGAGGCAGAGGAGGACCTTGGGGGATATGGTGGCTGAGCAGTTTAGGGGGAGAGGTTAGATGGGGTGTGACAGCCTGCTTATTTTTTGTTGGGCTAGGGTATAGAGCGTTTATTTTTTTGAGGATTTGGATGTGGTATTTTGTCCTGCTCGAGGGAGAGAATCGAGGGAGAGAATGATGAGCCATGTATGGGTGATCTACGCGTCATCACATGCTATCTCATACAATGATAAATGCGCCGTCTCATCTCCACATCAGGCACATCTGCGTCCATCTCATGAGTTTATGAAGATAGAATATGTACATTGTGATTTGAGGAAAGAGGCGTAATTGACACAGTGAGGGAACGCATTGGTGAGTTTGGAATGACTTTATTTGAGACGGGAGAAGGGATGGGACGGACGGGCATGGGTTGAAAGTCAAAAGTGATGATGAAGACAGATGATCAGAGCAGTCGTGAGGTCATCAATCCCATCCTATTCTATTCTATCATCTACATGTCCACCACTATTTCTTTACCATCATCACGCCTTGGCACCCATTCCAACCTCCCTAATCCTACCCTCCAACCGCGGGGCGATAGCCTTTGTCCAGTTGACCTGGAACTCGCCGCCGCCAAGCTCATCACACGGATTTGACGCACCCTTGAGCCCAGCCACACGCCACCACTTCCTCATGACGCGCCGTATGACTTCCAACTCGCGCTCGTTGAACTGAATCGGGACTCGAGAGTCCAGCATGGGCCCATCGTCTTCGTCTTCATCGACATCTGGGTCCTCGCTCTCACTTGCGTGGGCGCTTGCGTCTCGCTTATGCATGAGGACAACATTGGCGAGGGTGGGGTGTTGTGGGGGGAGGGCACGACCCGAGGTGGGAGAGGTGGGAGATGGTTCATGGAAGGTGTGTTGGTGGTTTTTCTGGAGGCTGGTTTGGATGGAGACGAATTTGTTGTTCATGGATGCGCCCCATCGCTTCCATTTGCCGAGGACTTTGAGGGACATGAAGTATTGGCGGAGTATGGTGGAGATGAGGACGCCGTTTTCTTCCGAGACGATTTCTTTTGCTACGCCACCTTCTTCTTCGATGAGGAGCGAGGTGTAGCCGTCTGTGGAGGGTGTCAGTTTTGTGCATTGCCAATGGCTGAACGGGCTGTCGAGACGTACCTTTTCCCCGACCCATGTATCCGCGGGTGGCCAGTACAAACTCCAGGTTGTCATCTAATGGCTCGGTTCCCACCGTGACGTTCTGGATCCTCTGCATGGGCGGTTTGGAGTAGTCGACCTCGAATGTGATGTTGGAGACCTGGGGGAACCGTCCCTCTAGTGCAGGATAGTTGCTCACACCATTCTCCAGCGCTTCCCGAATGGCCTTGCCAGTGACCTTCAATACCACTACAGGGTCTTCAAAAGGGAAACAGTTGACAATGTCCTTGAGCTTCAGCAATCCTGGCGGGTAGATCTGATCACCGCGTATCGTTCCCGCAGCCATGATGCAACAGTCGGCCGAGTAGTAGTATCTCATTAGATCGCATACAAAATTGCCAATGTTTGATTCCTTGGTTCGGACAGTGGTGAATCTGGCGTCGAGTGGTGCGGCAGTGTATCCAACAGGCTTATCCAACCGCTTCCTAATCTCCCGTGTCTGTTCCTCCACCAAGGCCATGGCTCGTGGATCCTGTGGTATACTGCCAACAACATCGCGTCTAACGATCCTGAAATCCCAGCCTTTGCCTTCTGATTTCTTCCATGCCTCAATGTGTGAGAGTTGTTTGAAATCGGTGCCGGACCGTAATACCTGCGTGCCATTGATCAAGCTATAGGAGTAGTAGTGATCATGTCCACCAAGAATGATGTCAATGTAATCGCCGCCCACTTGTGTTGCCAGCTTGTTGTCATTAGGCTCCCTCTGATGCGACACACAGACGATGATGTCCGCGCCCTGCTCCTTCAACCCGGGTATGAGCTCCTTGGCCGTTGCTGAAGCACTCTGGTAGATGATATCCGGCGGCAGAGCGTTGATTGTGTCCAGCCACTCTCGCTCAGCGAGCCCGATGACGCCGACTTTGAGCCCGTTCGATGCAGTAAGCATAATCGTCTTCTTCGCATTTCCAAGCGGCACGCCGTCGCCGAGCGCGGGATCGAGAACGTTCGCAAGAAGCCACGGGAACTTGCACTTTCCCGTGAGGTATCGATATTGTCGTACACCAAAGTCGAGGTCATGGTTCTGGCTTGGCTGTTAGCCGTCGTTGGACTCGTGTGGCGACACTACGTACTCCAACGCAAGAGACGTCGGTGCCAATGTTGTTCAGCACGGGGACCATGTGGCTTCCTGGTGCTCTTGTCAGTCCTTCCATCACACCAACTCCACAAGTGGTTGGCTCACCGACCCTTCGTTATACTGCTCTCAATACTGGGGTTGAACGCGTCACCAGAAAAGAAAGTGAGGAGTTTTGTCTGGTCTTGAAACCTCGCATCGTCTCTGTAGTAATTTACAAGAGTTTGAAACCTTGCATAGCCACCCACTGGCTCCCGTGATCCAGCTTCGACGTGGTACACATCGTTATAGTGTAGAAAGCGTAAATCGGGTGGGGTGTTGGGCGCCCCGCCTTGAGGTTCGCAGATGAGCTGCTCTTCTGCTGAAGGAACATCTGTTGGCGCCATCTGTAAATGAAGCCTATAGAGGAACAAGCATGAAAACTGGATAATTGAGAGAATGAGAAAGAAGACAACCAGCTGCGATTGTGTTTCGTGTTTTAAAGCGGTGTGTGTGTACACTTATGGCTACATGGATCTTCAGGGTCCAGCGCATACCCCCTGGGCTCTGTGGTACAGCTGTGACCAATCGTCATGGAGTTTTTACAAGTCAATTGAAGCCTCTGTGACGGCATTCCTAGTCAACACGCTTCACCGACATCACCTTCAAGATCCCACGTCCTTTCTAGATCATAATGCATCCTCGCAACGGCTCAGTGCAAACCGTGTTGTGGCTGGCCAAGCTGACCAGCGAAGATAGAGATAAAGAGATGCGATTTTTCGTTTTGAGAGGCGCAAAAGACAGCCATGCAAAAGTCGGCATTTTAAATGCCCTCATCGATACAAGCACTCCATTCTTCGACAAGGCGCCGAGATGCCGCTCCTAAAAACATAACTCGGCTATGCCACATACACACACGCACCATGACCAGCAGTCTCACGCCGTACCCAGAGTCCCAATGCGCCGCAAAATCCGCAGACCCAGAAAGCAATCCGGAAGAAGCCTCAGAGTGCATTCCAACCATCCCAAAGATTTAGCCTAGCCTTGCCCTTCCCCACAGGACCTGGCCTAGACCCAGCACCCGCTGGACCCGTCCCGGTACGCCTTGAACTCCTTCCTAATTCCTATTGTCGACTGCTTCCAGGTCGACCCCCTTTCGCCTTGGCCTTGGTGTGCACATCTTTGCACTCGTCACTGCAGAACCATTTCGTTCTGCCAGTAGGCGCTTTTTCAAGATGTACACAGGCCAGATGGAACCATTCCCGTGGGCAGTCATCATTATCGCAGGCGATCATGTTGCCGTACGACACTTCGTTGCAATAGCAATATCGCGGTTCATCGCCGTCGTCGTCCGACTCGATTTCCGCCTCCGCCTCGGCTTCTTGATAATCTTGTTCCTGGGCATTGGAGCTAGCCACGGACGATGGAGGATTCGACTTGACGTTCGGCGTGGTCTTCAGTGCTGGCGAAGCAAGCGGTGCATTCGATGTAGTCTGTGCGATCTTCTTACTGCTACGCTTCGACACTACTCCTGTAGTAGTACTGTTGTTCTCTGACGATGCATTTGAGTTTGAATTGCCGTTGTTTCCGTTGCGCGTGCTGCGACTGCGCACCATGGGTACATCGGGGAAGGCTCCAGCGACAGGGGTGCCAGTCTTGGAGGCCCTCCCTGTTTTAGCAGAACCTGGTATTAAAGTAGGCATGTCGATATCCATAGGCTCAACCTCTGGGTGGCCCAAATCTTCCAGCTTCATGGCCGACGTATCAAATAGTTGTGATGCGTCTACGCCATCCTTTAATACCGTTGTATCCTTGGCTGATTCGGTATTGCGCACTATACCGGCGGCTTGCTCAAGTTCGGTAATGGCATTGCTGCTGGCAGCTTGCTCTACAGAATGTGCAGATGAGGGTCTACGAGCATTGGAGGTCTCTTGGGTATTCCCAGACGTGACAGAAGTTGCTATCGAGTTCTTCCTAGCACGGGCGGACAACGGACGATCCGATACTCCAGACGTTGCTTTATTGATGGCGAAGCTAGCTGCGAGCGGTGATGACGTCGGCGGCGGCGAATGAGTTGGGAACTGATTCTTGCGCTGAGCTGGGACAGGAGCTGCTCGCGGTTTCCGCTTGGCAGCTGGAGCATTCTCTGGAGCTGGGGTTCCTCTTGGACTTGATCCAGCCCGCCCAACTGTACCTGTAGCCTTTACGGCGCTGCTCAGGGAGCGCTCCATCAGTGGCGCTGCTGCTGGCGCCGCCGCCGCCGCCGCAGCAGCAGCAGAGGCTGCCTTTTCAGTCTTCTTTCGCTTCCCATGCAGGCCTGCGCCATTGTGCGAGATTCCCAAGCCGATGTGCCGATTGTCGGTTGCAGTCGCGTCTGCAGGTACAGGCTTTCTCTTCTGCGGCTTCTTGGCGGGCCGGTCGTCAAAGTCTGAATCGACCTGCTGGTGTCGACTGCGCTTGTTCGCCTGTACTGCCTCGCGTCGCGCTTCACTTTTAGCTGCAATTGAGTCGACGTCATGCACATGTTGAGCTGCCGCAGCCAGATTGTTGGCAGCCGCCACCTCGCGCCTCTGTCGCTCATGCGAAGGGCCCCCCTTCTTCTTTTCCTCTTTGTCTGCGTACGCCCAATGCGTAAGACTACCATATCGGGCTTCTTCGCTGATCTCGGTGTCGAGGTGGGCGAAAGAATGATGCATGCGCATGAGGCCCTTTTCCTTGGTGGACTTTGCACCCTGCAGCACCACCAGCTTCTCGTCTAGTGTTGGGAGCATATTCGCGATGAGCATGCGCAGGCGAAAGAAGAGCTGGCGCTTGTGCATAATGGCCTGGCGGTCGGGCAGGATACTGTCAGGCTTGGGAGGGAAGAGCTAGCGGATGTGAGCTAATGATGCTTGTACAGAGCGGCGTTTCTGGGCTTACAGTGGCCATGTTTTCTGTCTCAACGGCGTTCTGCTCAGCGGCTGCCAGCTGTGCTTTGGTTGTGACGGGTTGCTCGGCAATCTCATCGAGCAGCTCCTTGAGCATATGCTCGGGATCGTGCAGTTTGGCCTCGACTTCTTTGAACATGGAGAAATGCTTGATCATCTCCTTGGGGAAGGCATCGACAGCACCGGTAAAGTGTGTGAGGGCCGGCAGGAAGCCAGGCGCGCTGTTGGAGGATTCTGGCGTCTGCTCCATGCCGCTGGCAGCGAGTCTGCCGGCAAACGTGCGCGCGTAGTAATTGGTAGGCCGTACCGTTGCCCGGCCCTGGCGTGTAGACGTTCGGGTGGCCGTAGTCGGAGGCATGGTCGCTGGCTCGCGCCGCGGTGAGTGTACTGGCTGGCTGCCGTGGGCCGGAGAGAAAGGAGCGGGCAGCTTCGGGAAAGCACTCAGCGAGAATGTGCCAAGGTGGATTGGGTGCGCGGAGTAGCAGTGACGTGTGAGGGCATCTCAAGCGATAAACAGACGTTCACGTTTGCTGCAAGAAGTTGCGCTTTGCGCGTTGCCCAGGACCAAGGCGCAAGAAGAAGTAGAAGTAGGAGTAGGAGTAGGAGTAGCACTAGTACATAGTAGTAGTATAGTAGTAGTATGAGTAGTACTAGTAGTAGTACTAGAAGTAGAAGAAGAAGAAGAAGAAGAAGAAGCAGAAGCAGAAGAGGCCGACAGACAGGACGGGAGCTCCTCACGCTGGCTTGCCGCTACGCCAGGGTACAGGGTGCCCAGCCCAGAACCTATCCATGTCACGTGCTGCTGCCGCCCGTGGGCGTATCGGAGATAGATTATCCCGATACCCTGGTGACTAAGCCCACATCCAACCACCACGGTCCACACCACAACCACCACCAACACTCTGTAGCGTCTCCTCATCCCGTCTCCCATCCATGTTACTACGGTAACCTTCCATCGGCGCAGTGTAACCTCTGCTCGCTCTACATTCTGCATGTGTCTGCTCCTTATGGCTGGCATCGACTCAACATGTCCCTTGGAAGCTAGTGAAGCTGTCTTGCCTATCCACGTGTGTTCGCTGTGAGATGCATCTTAAGGAGCAGCGACAGAGAAATGGAAAATCACCGTGGCAGCCTTCTCCAAATCCCACATGTCTGGCGATAGTATCTGCCTTGTGTGCGTATTCCATGCAAATGCTGTTGTGGTTATGCTGGTGAGAGCGGTATGTCTGAGAACTGAGAAATGGCAGTGTTGGTACGAGCTGGCTTCACGGTACCTGGCCAACAATCAGTCGTACGAGTGATTATGGAGGGCGACGACTCGATTGACCATGGTCTGTCATTTTCAGCAAGCAAATGGGTACGCCGCATGCCTTTCGATCCATTACACCTCTTTTCACTTCCACGAAAGAGCTGGCCGCAGCAGCCTGCTCACGACACGATAGCCAGATTGTAAATCCTCGTAATGGCCCATCATGACTCTCCAGTCATCAGGATCAGAAGCTGTCATTTGCTTTGCCCCAAGAGTCCTTTCTTCATCATTGGCTCGCACTTCTTTTCGTCACTCTGCACGTGTCCGACCAGCCTACGAGCGCCCGGGCCTGAAACACTCTTGCTCATCTCGCTCATCCAGCTCGAATCCAGCGACAGACTGGGCCACCTCTTGTATTTCTCCGCTATCAGCACGCGTTTGTCCCCCTTGATTTCCCTGGCCTTGCCTGCGCTGTTTGATGTCGATTGGTACAGGCAAATGACGAGCCCCACCCGCTGTGATTGTAACCACTCTCTTTTCCCCGCATCTTGCAGTCTGACTGTGGCTCGCATGTCGGCGCTAGCATTGTTCCTGCTCCATTGCCCCCCTCACCAACCGCTCGAGGGAGCTTGTCGGACCTGAGCACGCGCAAACGCTAGCCTTGGCGGCCGATCTGGAAGCTCAACAGGCTGCTCGTGCAACACACAAACTGGCCATTGGTGCCCGTTGTCCTATTGTCAGGCTGCCCATTGTCTCATTGTCAGGCTGCTGATTGAAGAAACAAGGCTGAAGCGGTGGCTGATCGGCGTACGCTTCACACGCTATCGCATTCAAATCAACTACGTGCTAGAGCCAGCCTCGACGGGACTTCCCTTCCATGCTGCGGTGACGGTGACTTGGTCACGTAAAGGTCCAAACGGAGCACTGTCACCTAGACACTCATTCACCTCTGACTAGAGGCCCCGCCGCCATCGCACTGCCACCCTTGCTATAAGATCCCCCGCTCACTTGCCTCGAGATCTTGTTCTCTCCACCACCCGCCCCATCACATACTCTACATCCTTTCCCCTACGCCTATCACACTCTACGTCCTTTTGCCTGCGCCTAGGCCCTACCGCCTCACTCCCCTGCATTCAATATCGGTCTCTCCTGCTACCTACCGCCCATCATTATGCCGAATCTGAAACAGCCCGACTCCCCCACTACAACTCCCACTAATCAGGCGGATCAGATTCGTAGCAGCATGAGGGTAGCCAACTTGATCACAGCTCCAGCTACTGCAGCTTCTGAAGGATTGACACAGGATACATTGGCTCCTACCCCTCCAGCTCCACAGACCATCACCTCTACCGAGGAGCATGTTGACATCTCAGAGACCAACATGTCGGAGCTCAATGAAGTCGACACTGATGGTCACTCTGAGCTCTTGTATGAACCCATGCAAGTTACGAATGGAAACTCTCTGTTTAAGGAGGAGGACCACACGGACGAATCTTCTGATGTCATGAATGATACCCCTGAAGGTAAGGGAACCATGACCTTGGTACACGAGCTCGACTAATCAGCCGATAGGTGACGCTGAAGACGATGCTATAGATGTCCCAGATGCTGAGAGGGAGTTTATTTGCATGAACGATCCTTGTGGTCGTTGCATGACAGGCCAGTACACCAAGGACCTCTCACGCAAGGTGATTTCCGACCACTTCGGCCGCAACAAGGCTTGCACACGCGACATTGTAGACTGGCCCCTCTTCTGCCGCAAACACTACCAGCGTGCCACGTACAACAAGCCGCGCTGGCAAGTCCGCAAGATGGAGCTCATTCTTCGTCAGTTTGACCTGATCGAGAAGCAGTTCCCCGGCACCACCTACGACATCCACTTCAAGAAGTCCGAGGAGGCACGCCTCAACCTGTACTCTCGCCTACTAGCCAACGGCAAGACACACGAGGAGGCCAGACAGTGTGTTCTTCCCGTCGTCGGCAAGCACTTTGAGGCTCCGATTGATGTGCTGCGCGAGCTTGATCACTGGCTCAGCAAGGACAAGACCTATGAGGGCGTTAGAGAGATTGCCGATATAATCTCACAAATGCTTGACGCGGGCGACACCGAGCAAGTTCCTTCTGTGGAGTTCTTGCCTAAGATCCCCGGCAAGGCCAAGAAGTCTCCTTCAAAGGCTCGCGTCTCCAAGTCTCCACGGACTCCCAGGGATTGCAAGACTCCAAAGAGCCCTTCCACCCCGAGTCGCGTCTCCGCCAAGGGCTCTATCAAGAAGCCATCGAGCCAGGCTTGAACTCGTCGATTCCAATGCTTCAATCATTTTTTTTGGGTCCTGGCGTCGCTACCGCTGGTGTGTTCTTATTGTGTGAGTCATCCCTTGGTCTCTTTCATATTCCGACATGTTGTCATACATATCCAAGCCAGATCTGACACATGCCCCGTTGCCATCAGTTTGCGCATAGTCTCAACATGACCTATCTACCACAGGCATTGTACAAGTACCGCGCCCAGGGTGGGACCTAGACACACAGGCCGCAGCTAGATGATTTGTTACTATATCTCGCTCTTTTGGACCAATGGCGTTACCTCTGGAGTATTGGGTGTTGGGCGATCTTCAGGCTGTGGGACGATACCCCCTTGATCATCCATTGCGGATATCATTTTTCAGACTTATTCTTTGCTTACTTGGGTTACCATATCGGGGAGTATATTTTTTGGCAGCATTAGATCTTTACTTATTTCAATTTTTACTCTTCATATCTGAGAGATGGGCCTGACCATGTGTGGGTGTGGGTGAGCTGTATAATAAATGAAGTAAGTTCTTACAACGTCTGGGTCTGGATGAAGAGGCAATGGTGATGTTTGGAGCTTCAGCGAGGCTGGACATGTCCCTTGTTGCTGAGAATGTGCTTGTGGATTGTGAAGGGGGGTGATGCCATGTCCACATTCGCTCATGCATAATGTCCTTGCCGTCCTCTTTTATAGCAAGCTGCGAGGCCGCAGTTGCATGTATAATGTCCCTTGAACAAACAACCGCAACCCCGCCCTCTGTAGTCTTGAACACATTCTCTGGTAGACGTCCGCACACCTGGCAGACTTCCACCGCACGCATGCTGTGAGACCATGATGTCCAGACGGCCAACCGTTCCAACCTCCAAGATTGCCCAAACCTTCGCTTCTGACACGCACCGCATGTGGTTCAGACCCACCTGCCTCTCTCCTTTTGATCCAGGAAATATATGGGCTTTCTGAGGGTTTGGCGGACTTGCGGGCACGGGATAGAGAGAGGATGTGTGGGAGATGGACCTGTTGCTATGCTTTGAAATAGGACTGTGGTGCGGGAAATGGGGTTCATCGTTGGCGGTACTGGTATCGGTACCGGTACCTACCTAGGTACACTAGGGCACCACCTGCCCAACTACCCAGACACAAATCCCAAACATGATTGAGAGAAGAAGAAAAAAGTTCATCTCGCGCCACCACACAGACACACGAACCTTACAAACCGAGGCTTTCTAGAAACCAGAACGATACTTGTGACTGCCTTCATTACCCAGCAGTACATGAATATTGCCATGCCGAGCTTACTATTCTAAGCTCGCGTCACACACGACCCCAGGACTATCGTCAGCAATGCTTACCCTGCATGAAAAATGTGTGGTAAAGTCCCTACCCAATACCTAAGTAAGCAACAGCATTGCATCATAATTAAGTAAAGATTTTTGCTTTGGGTTTGGTTTGGCTGGGATTAGTTTGGTCGAGGAATATAATGCGCTTGAATATACTTTTTCTTCTTCCTTTTTGTTCAGTTGGGCGGACGTAAATAGCAGTCTTCTGCCTGCTCGTGTGTGTTCAGTAGACGATATCTTCTGTGCATCTGTCCAGTGCTAGAGGCCGTCTGCTCGGACAGCCCATCTTCTACGAGTCCATCGCATTGCCATCTGCCGCATTCTCTTGGTCGTCCAATCGGGCACACTCTTTCACTACTTCTGTCCTACCGCGATTCCCAACACGCTCTTGTGGTCCAACCAAATATCCTCTGTAGCCTCCATCAGACCAACTTCCACCCACACTCGATTCCAGTCGAGCGGGCCCCAACATTCTCTGCCACAATGTCTTCCTCAAACCCCAGCCAAGACTACAAATCCCCTCATCCATCAGAGCGCATTCCAACAACAGGAAGGCCTGTGCCCTCCTCTGTATCCATCCTTTACGCCTCGGCCCTGCAAAATCTGTACCGGAAGAAAGCCAACAACGGTTTGGGCTGTGCCATGAAACCCCATGCCAGCACCAGCCTTGACGATGCGTTGTCTAGACCAAGGGCCTGCCGATCCCGCTCAGCTCCCGAATTCAGAGCGTGGACGGGCGAAAGAGAGCACAACATGTGGACCTATTCCAAGGACCCGCGGGGTATCTTGCCGAGCCGGAGAATCGAGCAGCACGGGATGCAGGAAGGGTGCGGGAGTGATGGCAAGGTATTTCCGCCGACTTGGGTGGTCGAGAGAGGGAAGCGAGAAGAGAAGTTGTACCCACAGTATGGAGAGTTCAAGGGGAAGAAGGTGTGCGAGGAACGTCGGTGTCCAGCCCACAGGACGTCAAGAGTACGTCAACAGCAAAAAGAGGGTCCCGTTGTCTTTCAACCTTGCCTCAAGGGCGTATTCACCAGTTGCACGATTACGAAAAGCGCGCTGCCGGCACCATGGTGCAACATGACGGAGCCAGTCTTTCAGGATTGGTTCGTCCAGAACCTGGCGGCCATTGGAATCAGTGCTGAATTCAGTCATGCGAGATTGGCAGCCATGAGCCGCGAGGAAGATAGGCAGAAATGGAGGGCGGCTGATTCAGAGAAGGTGAGTGGGAAAGAGGCGAGGATGATGCACAATATCTTACCACCGGAGGCACTCAGGCAGCTGTTGGCTACCACAGGGCAACCAGATCCGCCGGAATTGGATGGCGCGCTGGTGATGGAGATCAAAGAGCATCTGAAGTGCATAGCAGAAAGAAGACGGGCGAGGAGGGACGCAGCACGGGGATATGCTGCGCCACAGCGGCAGAGCGTTGGCACGGCCGGTCAAGGATCAGCGAACGAGACTTGGTTTGTGCAGAAGTGCAAGGCTGGCTGGAGGGGATTGTGGACTTGATGATGTTTGTTTTTGTATAGAGGATGAGGTTGGTGCCGTGAACTGTCATGAGGTATTTGGCAGAGTGCACAGCCTGTTTGACTGCATCGTCATTGTCAAGTGCTGGGCGGTAACCGATTTTCGCGAAGGTGACGAGTCTCTTGCATGGGGTCCGCAAAGTAACGGCGTCTGTACAACTAGCCTACCTACCTTGTAGAATGAAGCAGTGATACCGGTACATTTGCTCAGTCTTTCTCGATTGTGATGACCTAGCTCACAAGACAGTAGGGAGTCCCGAGACTCGGGAAGAGATGAGCATGGTGGCTTGTTCACGGTGCGATTGACGGAACGCATTGCCCTCTGTTAGAAGTGCCGAGGAGCTTGCGGTCGGGTGGTTAAGCCGAGGTTTAGCAGCGGGGGAGGGTGCTAGTTTTCTGTCTTTTGCTTCGCACGTCGTGTGATGTGGCCAAGAAATGAATAGTGGGTTGGGTGCAAGACGGTGAATCTTGGGACGAGGCGGTCTTGTGGTTGTTTGAAGCCACTTGAGCGCGGTAGGAACACCGAGGGAAAAGAGCGGAAGCTCAGACTTGATGCAGACGATGATGCAGAACAGTGTTGTTGATGTTGTTGTTGTTAGAGGGCGCAGTTCATATGACCATGGAATTAGCGCTGCGTGAACTTGTATTCAGTATAGGGTTAGGCTGTGCCAAGCTCTACTAGCTAGCTAAGCGAGGTTAACTAAATATTATACTGTAAGATTTTATAACGCGTTCTAAACCTGTTCTAAATATATTCTATACTAGTAACACTATAAGCTACTGCCACTATACCTATTACTAATGCATCCCTCTTATCCTACGTAAGCAGATTAAAACGTGTTTAGAATATGTTCTTAATAGGTTATAGAAGCACTATTAATAGTACCTTGCCCTTAGCTATATCCTAGATAATATTAGGGCATAGCCTATAGTTAGCCCTAATAGGGTAGTTAAGATAGAGAGTAGAGAGCGCTACTACTATACTAAGATTAATAATAAGGGCACCTTATATAGAGTAAGAATAGGTTCTAAACGTATTCTAAATAGATTCTAATATTCTTAGGCTATTCTAGGTACTAGGGGCACTCTATATACCTATACTAAAAAAGATTATAGGCTTAATATAGCCTACTATAAGGTTAGTAAGGTTAAGAAGACTAGCTAGCCCTTTATAATAGAGGTCTACAAGGCAAAGAGTAAATATATTATTAACCTATTCTTAACTTATTATACTAATATATATAGACTTCTATATAAAGGTTATATATAATTACTAGAACGCTCCTTACTATAAGTTATTTAGAATATATTTAAAACTTATTACTAACGTGTTTTATAGAAGTTCTCTAAGCCTAGCTAGTAGCTACTATAGGCCCCCCTATAAATACTAATACCCTCCTAAATATAATTTAGAAGAAGACTTGTAGTAGCTATAATAGTAATAAGGTATAGCCTGTAAGAACCTATTAAAAATATATTACTAACTTATTATAGCTTAACTTTGTTACTATATCTACCCTACTAAGGATTTAAGGTTATTAGGTTCCTTATACTATCTACACTTATAATTATCCTAGCTATAGTAAGTTATTTATAATATATTATTAACCTATTCCTAACGTGTTTTAAGACTGTTACTTTAATGCTAGTGTGGACCTTACTAATTCCTGCTAGAATACTGCCTAGTTCTACTTATAGTATGCTTTTATAGAGCCTAGGGAGGATAGGGAGGATAGAGAAGATACTAGAGAGGGGGAGGGAGATAATAATAGTAATAAGTAGGAACACGTTAAGAATATATTAAGAATAAGTTCTAATAAATAATATATAATAGTATATAACCTAAAGGGGTAGTAGTAATTACTAAAATAAACTCTCTACTCTTCTCTTTTTTTTTCTATTTACTAAAAGTAAAGTACTATTTACTTTTATAGGGTCCTTTAATAGTATATAACTTTTTTTTTTACTTTTATAAGTATTATAAAGCTTTAGTAGTCTCTTAGATTAAAGAAGAATCTAGTATTTATAGGTGTCTAGCTATAACATATTATTAATATATTCTAAATATATTTTAAGAGACTAGACTTATATCTCCTTTTTACTACTTTTACTAAATATTATTTATAGTATAAAGGGGAGCAACTATTTACTCCTCTTCTTTACTCTCTACTTCCTCTTTAGCCTCTACTCTAGCTACTACTTCTTATTATAAACTAGCTATCTTAGAGGGTTCTTAAACCTTAGAGGAGGCACTTAGTGTAGTCTACTCTACTAGTAGAGAATATATTATTAATATATTTAGAACACGTTCTTAAGCATTTACTATTAAGCTCCTATAGAAGATCCTTGCTTCTATAATACCTTATATTATAATTCTACTATAGTTTACTAGGGCTATTTAAACCTTAGGATAATACCTCTTAAGGTAGTAGATAAGATTACCTCTATTAGAGAAGCAACGCTAAAATAGTTATTAATATATTGTAAACGTGTTCTAACTTGCATATATATATACTCTACAAAGTTCCTATACCCCTAATCTAGCCTAAATAGCCTAGTAGAAAAGCTTGCTAGGAAATACTATACACCTATTATTTAGGTAGGATATTATAGGAGAGAATGCCCTAGTATTAGATAGAAGTGACTTAAGCTTAATATATCGCTAGTATAAATCCTACTTAGTATTAGAACAAGTTTATAATATATTCCTAACGCGTTCTATTATATACTAACTTTAAAAGATCTTTATAGACTATATTAACTAGTTATATCTAATAATATTAGGAAAGATAGATAGTAAAATAGTATTAAACTCTTAAATATAAAAAGTTCTTATAAAGTATAAGAAGAAAGAAGAAGAAAGAGAAGAAGAAAAAATATATATTTATCTACTTATATATACTTATATAATAGACTAGAATATATTAAGAACTAGTTAGGAACTAGTTACTATATTTATAGACTAACCCTACCTTATATAAAAAGTAGCTATCTCTTTCTTAAGTTTAAACTATACCTTTTACAATTTAAATAGTGCCTTTTTCTATATAAGTTCTTCCTTATCTACCTCTAGCTTTTCTTTTCTCTTCTTTAGAGCCTAATTACTAAGAAGAGCCTTTTATTATAAAGTTTATAGTTATAGACTAATAATAAGTTAGGAATATATTATAAACATGTTTCGCGAAGCATACCTTTAGGTTGCTATTAGTAGAGGAGAAGAGCCTAGTAGTAGAGAAGATAGAAAAGGGGCTAGTAAACTTCTTTCTAATACCGCTCTACTACTTGCCCTCTAGCTTTAGGCTTTTAAGCATGCTCTTTTATTTCTTATTAGGACTAAGATATATCTAGTTAAGTTAGATATAGCAAGACTTGCTTTATTATTATCTAGAGTATTATTATTATTATAGGACGCGTTCTAAACACGTTCTAAACACGTTTTAATTAGTAAATATGTATAACGCTAGCGTAAGACTTACTTTCTCCCCTCTAAAGCTTTTTAAGGTACCTTTACTTAAGCCTATTAGGAGTTCTATAGTTATAGTATATTCTAAACTTACTCTAGGCTTTAAACTCTTTTATATCCTATAGATCTATCTAGTGTGCACTATATAATATTACTTATATAATTCTAATAGGTTAAGAATAGGTTATAAACTTACTTCTAAGTAGCCTTAAGAATACTTACATGCTTACTAGTTTTATATCCTTTCTAGCCTACTTGCTTAGCTATATTTAAATAAGATTCTAGTTTTTCCTATACCTCTTTTAATATTTTATTATAGTATTATATAATCCTAGTAGTAATTACTAGGTTTTTCTTATAGATTACCTAGTTTTAGGTATCTTTAGAGGGTTTATATTCTAATTATATAAGAATAAGTTAGGAACACGTTTAGAATAGGTTTAGAATATATTTACTTATATAAGAGGAGGTTAGTAAGCTAAAAGTATTCCTCTGCTATTAATACCTGTAGTAATTTACTTAGATATAAAGAGGTAGTATTATCTAGCTCTCTTTTATATACTTTGTAAATACTTCTTTATAGATATACTTAACAAAATCTTATACAAGATTAAAGTTGCTAGCGCTAGTTACGCTTATAAGGATTAATTAACTAGAGATAGCGCCTAAGTCCTAGAAATAAGTTAGAAATATATTACAAATAGGTTATAGTATACTATAAAACTTGCCTATTATCTACTTGTTATATATATTAATAGTAGTCCTATAGAATCCCTATAAGTAAATATACCTCTATAACACTTATCTTTTTATAAGTGCTTTACACTTCTAAAAGAAGTTAGTAATAGTAACTTAATATATCTTAGTTATATCCTTATCTATAATAATTTAGCTAAGTATAATAACTATAATATATTAGAAACGTGTTATAAACCTGTTCTTAATACGTACGCTTCTTTTCCTATAGGTAGAAGATTACTATTAGAATCTCTACCTATGCCCTATATAACCTCTTATATAATATATCTATCTAGAATATATCTTAATCTAATAGAATTAATACCTACTCTTTAAAAAGGTAAATAATTAAGTTACCTAAGCTTAATATAAAGATTTGCTATATATACGCCTGTAGTAATATGTTAGCAATGTGTTCTAAACCTGTTCTCTTATACCACGTATAGTTTTAGGATCCTAATACTTTGTCCTCTACTTATAGTATACTCCTCTAAGGCTACTCTTAAATAAGAACTATAGAAGCTTTTTACACTTTATAATACATAAGATTTTATCTTTATTTATAAAGCTAATATATATTTCTTTAATAGAATAGAAACCTTTAAGTTAAAAATAGGTTTAAAGCTAGGTTAAGTTTAGGAACTAGGCTATAATAAGTTAGGAACATGTTTATAATAGGTTATAAATAACTTATATTATATAAGCTATAGAGTAAGCATAGGCTATAATACCTTTACTACTTCCTTAATATTACTATTAGATAGTATTAAGGGAGGAGGAGGTATATATATATATATACTAAAAGAAATAATAGTAAAAAAAGGTATTACTACTATATCTATTAGTATAATTACTTAGAAGGTAACTTTATATAGGATTTTAAATAGAGATCCTTGCCCTTATAGATAATTAACGCCTAGAACATGTTAGGAACGTGTTAGGAATAGGTTGCAATATACCTACCACACTTCTTTATCTAGCTTAACTATAGCTTAACCACAGAATATAAAGCAGGACTACTAGAAAGATTTAATATCTCCCTAGTTAGAAGACCTTGTAGATATGTAGAGTCTACCTCTAGTAGTACTTAACTAAAATAATATTTTTTCCTAGTAGTAGATATTAGGCTGTAGTTCTAATAGCTAATATATAGTTAAGCCTGTTCTATAATTTACTAACTTATTATTAACACGTTTTAAACATATTTAAGTTTTGCTCCCTACCTAATTTACTATAGTCCTTATTATAGGATAATAAGATACCTAGTAGTCCTTATAAATCCTTAAAGAGAAGCGCTTAATAAGGCTATAATAATAGCTTCTTATTTATAGTTCTCTTTATAGAATTTTCTTAGGTACTATACTTTTTAAGGTTTAGATCTAATTATATAATATATTATTAATAATATAATAAGAATATATTTATAATATATTCTTAAGATACTTATACACTTTTACCCTAGAGTATTAGTATTTATACTAGCTTGCTAGCTAGCTATTAAAGAATAGTAAAGTTGTAGGCCTATTAAGATAGATAGACTAGCAGGAGTATTATACCTACTAGAATTAGAATAATTTAAGAACATGTTCTTAACGTGTTACTTATATAGCCTATATAAGCACCTCTTCTCTTATTAGGTAAGAGCTATCTTTATATTACTAAACTAGTATTATATACCTATACCCTTAGCTATATAATTAAGGGTATACTAGGAGAATAGCTATATACTTAATAATTACTAGTATAAGTAGTAGTCCTTAACTATTACTATAAGTAAGGTATATATTATACCCCTATAATATATTACTAACCTATTCTAAACTTATTCTATTTACTTTTACTTACTTCCTTAATACTACTACTACTATCCTCCTCTAGTACTTTATATAGTTGCCTAAATTTATCTCTAATATTACTATCTAGTTTAGATATATTATCTAGTACTGCTATACTAAACTCTAGTATAGTATTTAGGAACGCCTGTATATTATTAAGAATAGGTTTAGAACATATTTAAAAAAGATAGTAATAAAAACTACGTTTACTTGCTTAAATTATCCTAATTTATACTTAACTATAGGCTAGTTTATATAACCATGAAAATTTGCCGCTGTGACGTGGACTTGAACCTACAGGGATATTCTAACCACTCGGAGTAAAGCCCAAGTCGCCTAACGCTAAACCTATGGTTATATGACATGCCACCACTTGTTATTGTTATGATTAAGGGCGCAGTTCATATAACCATGGAATTAGCGCTACGTGAACTTGTATTTAGCATGGGGTTAGGCCGTGCTAAGCTCTACTAGCTAGCTAAGCAAGGTTAACTAAATATTATACTATAAGATTTTATAACATATTCTAAACCTATTCTAAATATATTCTATACTAGTAATACTATAAGCTACTACTACTATACCTATTACTAATGTATCCCTTATATCCTATATAAGTAGATTAAAACATGTTTTGAATATATTCTTAATAGGTTATAGAAGTACTATTAATAGTACCTTACCCTTAGCTATATCCTAGATAATATTAGGGTATAGCCTATAGTTAGCCCTAATAGGGTAGTTAAGATAAAGAGTAGAGAGCGCTACTACTATACTAAGATTAATAATAAGGGTACCTTATATAAAGTAAGAATAGGTTCTAAATATATTCTAAATAGGTTCTAATATTCTTAGGCTATTCTAGGTACTAGAGGCACTTTATATACCTATACTAAAAAAGATTATAGGCTTAATATAGCCTACTATAAAGTTAGTAAGGTTAAGAAGACTAGCTAGCCCTCTATAATAAAGGTTTATAAGGTAAAGAGTAAATATATTATTAACCTATTCTTAACTTATTATACTAATATATATAGACTTCTATATAAAGGTTATATATAATTACTAGAATACTCCTTACTATAAGTTATTTAGAATATATTTAAAACTTATTACTAATATATTTTATAGAAGTTCTCTAAGCCTAGCTAGTAGCTACTATAGGCCCCCTTATAAATACTAATACCCTCCTAAATATAATTTAGAAGAAGACTTACACTAGCTATAATAGTAATAAGGTATAGCCTATAAGAACCTATTAAAAATATATTACTAACTTATTATAGCTTAACTTTATTACTATATCTACCTTACTAAGGATTTAAGGTTATTAGGTTCCTTATACTATCTACGCTTATAATTATCCTAGCTATAGTAAGTTATTTATAATATATTATTAACCTATTCCTAATATATTTTAAGACTATTACTTTAATACTAATATAGACCTTGCTAATTCCTACTAGAATACTACCTAGTTCTACTTATAGTATACTTTTATAGAGCCTAGGGAGGATAAGGAGGATAGAGAAGATACTAGAGAGGGGGAGGGAGATAATAATAGTAATAAGTAGGAACACGTTAAGAATATATTAAGAATAAGTTCTAATAAATAATATATAATAGTATATAACCTAAAGGGGTAGTAGTAATTACTAAAATAAACTCTCTACTCTTCTCTTTTTTTTTCTATTTACTAAAAGTAAAGTACTATTTACTTTTATAGGGTCCTTTAATAGTATATAACTTTTTTTTTACTTTTATAAGTATTATAAAGCTTTAGTAGTCTCTTAGATTAAAGAAGAATCTAGTATTTATAGGTGTCTAGCTATAACATATTATTAATATATTCTAAATATATTTTAAGAGACTAGACTTATATCTCCTTTTTACTACTTTTACTAAATATTATTTATAGTATAAAGGGGAGCAACTATTTACTCCTCTTCTTTACTCTCTACTTCCTCTTTAGCCTCTACTCTAGCTACTACTTCTTATTATAAACTAGCTATCTTAGAGGGTTCTTAAACCTTAGAGGAGGCACTTAGTATTACTCTACTAGTAGAGAATATATTACTTAATATGATGTT